ATATGCTGACCATGAATGAAAAGCTAAGTATGTTATATATCCCAGAAGTGCTCAGGCATTACTCTAAATGCCACGATTGCAGCCGGGGTAAACCAGAGGGGATAGATAACACTTCCCTATATTTACCATGAATGAAAAGCTAAGTGTGTTATATATCCCAGAAGTGCTCAGGCATTACACTAAATGCCAGGACTTCAGCCTGGGTAAACCAGAAAGGATAGACAACACTTGCCTATATTTACCATGAATGAAAAGCTAGGTGTGTTATATATCCCAGAAGCACTCAGGCATTACACTGAATGCCAAGACTTAAGCCCGGGTGAACCAGAAAGGACAGAGAACACTTCCCTATATTTACCATGAATAAAAACCTAAGTGTGTTACATATCCCAGAAGTGCTCAGGCATTACAGTTAATGCTAGGACTTCAGTCTGGGTGCGCTAGTTAGAATAGGCAACACTTCCCTGTGTTTACAATGAATGAAAAGCTAAGTATGTTATATATCCCAGAAGTGCTCAGGCATTAAACTGAATGCCAGCACTTCAGCCTGGGTGAACCAGAAAAGATAGACAACACTTCCCTATGCTGACCATGAATGAAAATCTAGGTATGTTATATATCCCAGAAGCGCTTGGGCATTACTCTAAATGCCAGGACTTTAGCCGAGGTGAACCAGAAAGGATAGACAACACTTCCCTATACTTATCATGAATAAAAAGCTAAGTGTGTTATATATCCCAGAGGTGGTCAGTCATTACACTAAATGTCAGGACTTTAGCCTGGGTAATCCAGAAAAGATAGACAACACCTCCCTATGCTGACCATGAATGAAAAGCTAAGTATGTTATATATCCCAGAAAAGCTCAGGCATTACTCTAAATGCCAGGATTTCAACCGGGGCAAACCAGAAAAGATAGACAACACCTGCCTATATTTACCATGAATGAAAAGCTAAGTATATGTTATATATCCCAGAAGTGCTCAGGCATTACACTGAATACAAGGACTTCAGCCTGGGTGAACCAGAAAGGATAGACAACACTTCCCTATATTTACCATGAATGAAAAGCTAAGTGTGTTATATATCCCAGAAGTGCTCAGGCATGACACTGAATGCTAGGACTTCAGCCTGGGTGAACCAGAAAGGATAGACAATACTTCCCTATATTTACCGTGAATGAAAAGCTAAGTATGTTATATATCCCAAAAGTGCTCAGGCATGACAGTGAATGCCAGGACTTCAGCCTGGGTGAACCAGAAAGGATAGACAACACTTCGCTGTATTTACCATGAATGGAAAGCTAAGTATGTTATATATCCCAAAAGTGCTTAGGCATTACACTGAATGCCAGGAACTTCAGCCTGGGTGAACCAGAAAGGATAGACAACGCTTCCCTATATTTACCATGAATGAAAAGCTAAGTGTGTTATGTATACCAGAAGCGCTCAGGCATCACTCTGAATGCCAGGACTTCAGCCTGGGTGAACCAGGAAGGATAGACGACACTTCCCTATATTTACCATGAATGAAAAGCTAAGTATGTTATATATCCCAGAGGCGCTGAGCCATATCACTGAATGCCAGGGCTTCAGCCTGGGTGAACCAGAAAGGATAGACAACACTTCCCTATATTTAACATGAATGAAAAGCTAAGTATGTTATATATCCCAGAAGCGCTCAGGCATTACACTGAATGCCAGGATTTCAGACGGGGTGAACCAGAAAGGATAGACAACAATTCCCTAAGTGAACATGAATGAAAAGCTATAAGTATGTTATATATCCCAGAAGCACTCAGGCATTACTCTGAATGCCAGGACTTCAACTTGGGTGAACCAAAAATGATAGACAAGACTTCTCTAGATTGACGGTGGATGAAAACCTATATATGTTATATATCCCAGAAGCAGTCAGGCCATAATAATTACACCAAATGCCTGGACTTCAGCCTAGGTGAACCAGAAAGGATAGACAACACTTCCCTTGATTGACCATTAATGAAATGTAAGTATAGTATATATCCCAGAAGGTGGCTCAGGCATTATGCTGAATGCCATATAAATCTAAGAAATACAACAAATAAATATATATAACAGAAGTGATCAGGCAATGCTAAACAAAAGAATATTGTTACAGGATTAGACTTTAAGAAAATAGATTTTTTTTTACATAAAACAATATTGACTGTGCACAGAATTTTAAAATTAAAATGTTATACATTGCATGCAGAGCACATAAATTAACATCACATGGCTCCTTTTCAAGGAGAAAGAGCAAGTCATCTCCTAACCCCTTCTATCTGAAACAGACAGAAACAAAAACGGTGAATTTAGTTTCCACCTTTATAATTCAAACCTGCCATATTTTTGCTGGTAACTGTCCGTCAAACTAAGTATCCCAAAAGAGATTTAAAGACATGTATTCCAAGAGAAAGTGAAATACCATACTGCAAGCTGGACTTTGTTGTGCATGTCAATACAGAAATGCAGAGTTATACCTACCCACCAATATTTGCTTTGTTCTTCAGGAAACACTCAGCACAGGCTTCCCCACAAGGAATCTCAGAACAGGCACATTTCTACAAATAAATTGCATGTATCACTCAATAATGAATTAACTGAGCTGAAGTCATATAATGTTCACCACTATTTGTAGATATATTATAATCATTGTTCATCACAGATAAAATATGTTCATTTTTATAGACAGATTTCTGCCTCTATATAAAGTCAAGAAAGCTAAGAAAGCTCTCACTAATTCATTACAAATAAATTGCATAACAAATACCGGTTGCCTGAATTTGTTGTGTTATTGTAGAATTCTGCTATGGTCCTCTTTATTAGTTTTCCACTAAATGGATTTTAAAAACTAATTACAATCAATACTACATCAAAACTCATAAACTTTAAAATATGTCTCAGTCCTAAAAAAAAAACTACTGAGAAATTCCTTTAAATGTCTCTTGAAGGTTGGCAAATTGACACATTCTCTTACTTCAGGTGATGTATGTCATTTAGCATTGCAGGTATGACCTACCTTATTAACTTTGCAGAATACACAGCACTCTGTGCCCAATCCTTGCTTGCAAAGTTCATTGATATATTTTTTTGACATCACCACCGTTTTGCTTAAGCAGCATTATCAGTGATTTGTAATCAAGAGTAACTGTTTTGAAAAAGACATGAAGATAATATCAAGTTGAAGTTTAAATAACTACACCACAAATCTCAAATGGTATACTTTCAATTAAACACCACTTTCCCAGATAATTTCTAACACTGCCAAGCATAAAATGGATTCAATAATTACGATACCATGGCTAGACATGTAGCATAAAGACAATCATAACAAAAATAAAAAATTATAAGATGAAAAAATATAAAGAGTCGAGATGGGCACACATAAATAACCTGGAAATTTAACTTTAAAGCATCTTCCATCAACCACTATTCCAGTTTTCTCAATGGCATCCCTCTGGCGATTTAAATCTTTTATCGTAGAAAAATAAAAATGGAATAAATTATAATACTGTCAAGACCCTATCAAGGAAACAAACCGGAAATTTCTCCTATTGTAGCCATAAAAAGTGATCACAGATGACTTATAGCCTCAGGGCCGTAAAATCAAACTCAGCCAATTATGTGATTTTCCTGCCAAGCAGAAATGAGTTCTGATACACCACACAACCAACATTCACAACAAAACATAAGACAGCAAATACACTTTTTCCAATCTTAATAAAAATGTAAACGTTATGACTTACGCCGGTTTTTCTTAGCTTGGAAATGCTAAGTAACGTTTGCCGAGCTTTTCTTGGTCCAGGATCCTCGACTATAATTTGAAAAACAGCAGGGTCCAGTCTGGCACTCTGAGATTGCAAAAACTGAGGGTTACTGTTCCCCAGTGTTGTTTCCAACGCTTTCAGTAGGCTGCTGCTGTTAATTTTAATTTTCTCAGCGATGTCGCTGAGCATTCGCCCCACCTCAGGACTGTGGACCTGACCTGCGATTACATTTGATCGATGTCCACACATCCTCGCGGCGACCTTCTCCTCAATTTTAACTCTGAGGCTGGTCTTACTTAGCTGATATTATTATTTCTTCTTAGAGGGATTCTAGCTGACTCCGCGCTTGATCGAGGTCGGCCTTAAGTCGATCGTTTTCAATCCGAATATTTAAACTTCCGTCTACCTGAGGCTCGTGATGAATGGCATCCTCGGAGACCCAGGGGCTGAGAGTCGATTTCAAGTTAAGTGCAGGAGAGCCGCACAGCCCCTGGGTCTCCGAGAATGGATGAATGGTTTCTTCTTCATTTTCTTCCTGGAGTTTTCTCCACCAGGAATTTGTCAACGGAGTTGACTGATCGTCTTCACTAACCACACTTGCGTATGTACGCTTGAATCTAGCCTTCTCTTCTCCATTGTCAGAAAAAACACTACTTCCACAGTTCATTTTTTAACATAGAGTTGACAGAAACGATATAACGTGGCAATCGCACTCGAGAGATTACGTGTCTCATCGGATTGTTAATCTTAAACTTGCCGATACGGTTGTCAACACACCTGTCAGTTACCTATATAATCCAGATATTCCCAGAACAGAACCTTAGAAAACGAAGCGTCTTTTTTACTGACAATCGCACGCCAGATACCGGAAGTTTTCCCGCGCGGGCCTCGCGTGGACATGGCCAATCTACAAACGAATTTGAAAGTAAAATGTTGACATCGAATTGTTCCGTAAAATGTACCATAGTCGGGCGTTTTCTCTTGTTTATCTTTTTTGTTTTTTGCTTACAAGGTACTGTAACTCGTTATTCCGTGTTTTGAATCTGTCAACACTTTTCAAGCTTGGAAACAAAGCATACAGTCACCGGCAGGCTGCACGCAGAACAAAATTTATATCGCGTGAGCCTCGCGCTATCGCAAAAGAACGTTCGGGTTATTTTTTAGATTAATTTCTACTTTTTTTAAATTTAAAAATAATAAGTAAATATTAACTCCGTTTAATATTAATACAATTTAACTAAAAAGTAGATGGGTTAGTGCCTGCTACGCAGTCACTTGGTAGTGCCTGCTACGCAGTCACTTGGTAATGTCTGCTACGCAGTCATTTATATTGTAGATGATGTGGGCTAGAAGGTGCATCACTACCAAATGAAGGGATACGCTGTTATCAATTCTTCAGTCCAACGGTTAGTGATGCACTTTATTGAGCGACAGAGAGTGCCGGTTTCAGCGTCCCTACCAATCACGTTTGTGAATTTTTTGATATATTCATTTTCCGTAAGATTTTTACTAAGTTTCCTATGATCATAGTATTCCCAAGTTTGATTTACAAGCTCTTCAACTTCCCTCTCATCCAGAGATAGAAATTGAGACTTTTCGAGGGCCTTTGCGGGGTTCATGTGATTTTCTTTGATGTGATCCATCCTTCCACGCCCGTGAATAGAATTGTACCGCCAAGTATATAAATTGATTTTCTGATACACTGCTTTCTTATGGTACAAGGCAGTCTTCGTCTAAGCTGCGTTTCATAATACGCATGCGCATTAGTCGTCAAAGAACGTTCTTCGAGTTCAAGCTCTTTTGGTCAGCGCCTTCTTTTGAAGGGAATTTTTACCTTGTTTTTGTGTGCCTCACACAAATTTTGTAGCCACATTATGGCACAATCAGGCTTTCCGAAGGAAACGCTCGAGGTATAAATTGGGCTTAATTTTTTTAGTTGGGTTTGTCACTACAGCGCATGCGTAGAAGGAACTCTAGAGCCCGTGGTTTAAAGCTGCCTTCATTGACAATTCCTTGCTGGATGTTCGCGAAAGAAATTTGATGGCTATTTACGACCAATACAAATACAAAGTCACACACCGTTCGCGGTAGACCCACAGAAAAACTTGTCGTGCGTTTAGAGAACGGGTGGGTCCGCGAACTTTACGAGAGATCAATTTACGAACGATTCTTAACGAGTGAACCTTCTATCGTGAAATATCAAGCGAAACCTGCTATATCAAACGAGTTACCTCATATTATGTTTACATGTATTCACAACCGTGTCTTTAGCCGTTATCAAGAACCCAGCAGAATACCAGAAGCTACTCTGAAACGTCTCAGAAGAAAGGGCAGAAAACTGAAGGAATTTGTTTAAGAGCGTGTTCGTCCAAGCGTACCGAAGTCCTGTTGGCTACGTCGCTATGTGAAGGTTAGAAGAGTTACAAAGAATGTAAGCTTAATACGAAGAGGGTGAGATTAAATAAAGTTCCACTACATGAGAAGAAGTATTTGTTGAATTGTTCTGAGGTTATATTAAAGGATAATTAAATTGAAGCAAAGAGCAAGTCGGTATTTATCAATGTTTTCTTGTAATCGACCCATGTGTCTTTCGAAGAGTCAGACACACGCATCAAACTATTGTAAATTTCAACTGAATTCAGATATAGAGAAAGACGTTGGTCATACTCCAATGTGCATTGACCCTAGCAAATAATAATGGCACCATATAGCCAAGCTAATAAGCTGGTATTTGGACAAAAGTCAGGACAATGATGGGTTGCAATATACCTCCTTAGATAGAGCCTTTCAATCACTTATATCAAAAATTTCAACAATTTTGTCTTGACAATAGGGTGTGCTGCAGTTGCTATCTATTGTAAAGGTAACATGGGCTTGAAAACATGTGATTCTCATGCAAGGGATATTTATAGTAGATGCCATCCTTGAGTTACTTTTTTGCTGCTTGAAGTATCATCACAGCTGAATAGTTAAGTACATTATGTTCAGAGTATAAATACCAATGATGTTTTTGAATAAAGGCTGATAGTTTCTAAAGAAACTGTTTGAGGCTGGGTCAGTGGTGGTAATGAAATAATTTGAATATATCAACAAAGTTGAAATAGTAAATTGGTCACCGTTACAATTATAAAAACTGACGTTTCGAGCGTTAGCCCTTCGTCGAAGGGCTTTTATAAATGTAACGGTGGCCAATTTACTATTTCAACTTTGTTGATATATTCAAATTATAATGATATATTTGAGTTGAAAGGGGTTAAAATTAGTAAAGTTCAAAATAGCACCCTTCTTCAGAGTCATGCCTGGGAAACCAGAAAGTTTAAAGTGAGTTGTGCTGTGGCTGTCTATTCACTCTGCTACTCCATAATAAAATCATGTAGTTATTGGAATTTAAACACCTTATTTAATATTATTCAGTATGGCAAAAGGTTAAATGAAAATTCATCTTTAAACAAGTACTTACTATCAGATGATTTGCAAAAAACTGTTGATCTTTGTGGAACTGAAGTAAAATTAGATCCAAAAAGTGATTACAGTGAGAAATATTGTCCGATTCAGTTGACAGCAAATCAATTCTCGAAAATCTTGTAAGAAATAATAGTGAATGCACAGGGTTTTGATGTGGTTTTCAGTTTTCTGTATGACATTTTTAAACCCACAAAAAGGTCAAAATGTGTGCATTCCCTCTTGGTATTTAATGAAAGTCAAATGCCTCTAATTCAATATACTAAACCTGTAAATAGCACTGCTTCTCTTGTTGTGGCCATCAGCAATATTCATTATTCAGAGATTTTCTTTTAAAAACATTTAACAATTATTCGCCTCAGGTTCGGTGAATATCGTTGAATAATCCCCGAGACAAAGTCGAGGGGATTATGCGACAATATTCACCGAACCTGAGGCGAATAATTGTTTCAGTATAAAGCTGAACAACAGAGAAATTTCTAAAATCATAACATTTTAGTAACATTTATTAACATTTTAGTTTAACATTTTACAGTATATAAACCGCGCGGAGCGGTTTATATAGCGTCATATAAGGAACCGCTCGACCAATCAGTTTGCTGGAAACTCTTTGTTCAGCTCTGAAATTATACTAATATGAATTATTAAACAGTAATATTTCTTCAATCTACTGATTTCTGACAACTTCCTTTGGGTGAATATTTGGCAACAAACTGTGACTCGGTACCAATAATAGATAAAAAATTCCCTTCTTGCAGTTAAAGGCAAATACATGACCTACTCAGGGTTCGTAAAAACCTTGAAAGTCATAGTCTGCCACGCAGCCGTCACGCACAATCGTCACGCAACGCTCCTCCCCGTGGTGAGGAACGTTGCGTGACGAACCCAAGAACGGCTGTGTAGCAGACAATGAAAGTCGTTGAAGATGCTTGAATTTAAAAATAAAAAATTCAAGGTCTTGAAAGTACTTGAGTTTGAGGACTAGAGCTTGATTTCTGCAATGCTTTTTCTTTAGCAATTTTCAAGTTGAAAATTACAGTACTTTCATAGAAAAGCTGAGAAATAATATTAAATAATTTTAAAATTGCTGATGCAAACTTTTCCAAAAGTGGTCCTTCAATTTTCTTAAACTTGGCCTCCAAAGCCACTGAAAAGTCCTTGAATTTCAACCTTTGGCATCTGTAGGAACCTACTCCCATATGGTAATAGATTATTCTGATTGTTGTCTAGTACCATAACAACATTCATTACACTCCAGCAGACAAAAATAAACACAAGTGACTTATTCATGACCGGCAATGACGAAATTGCTTGACGTCAGTAACGATGGTAGTCCCCTAAAGATAACTCCAGATGTGCGATGTTGAAAGCCCTAGTTCACGCAGCTATGCGTCTAGTCACTCTGGCTTTCCGAAGGAAACGCCTATGGGGCGCCGTTTGTACATTTATTATTTATTTCGCTTTTGGTGTTTTTTTACGTGATGTGTTCTTTTATTTATGATAAATTCATTATATCCATTGGCTATTTAATAAAACCAATCATGCTTTATTTGGTTATTTGATATAACCAATGTTGCGTTATTTGGTTATTTGATAAACCAATGTTGCGTTATTTGGTTATTTGATATAACCAATGTTGCGTTATTTCATAGTTAATCGAGGAGAATGGTTCCCCTCGATTAACTATGCGTTGACTAAAGAAATATTTCTTCTACGTGACTGTATCATTCGCGGCCGCAACACGCTCCGGGCGAGCGCTTTGTCTTATCACTATTTTTAAGCGATGACCATGTACATGTACACTTTTTTCGGATACGGCTTCTTTAATTACCTTTTCACGCCATAGTGAAAAGGTAATTAAAGAGTTATTTACAGTGTGTTACTGTAAATAACTCGACTTCGTCACAACTTATGCTAACCAATGGAGTTCCTCAAGGTAGCATATTAGGACCTCTACTGTTTTTAATTTTCGTCAACGATCTTCCCGAAGCCGTTGGATCGGACTCAACTATTCATGCTTACGCGCATGACACCACATTTAAAGCCAGCGCTAATATCGATAACGTACCTTTGGAATTGGAACGACGTCTTCAAGAATACATGGACAAATTAAGTAAATGATCTAGCGAAAATAGGATGGTCCTAAACGCCGTTAAAACCAAAGCATTACTTATCACCGGAAAGAGGCTACATTCATCATTAGCTGATGGCAATCACCTGTCAGTGACCCTTGATGGGGCCGAAATAGAACAAGTAACTTCTTATAAATTGCTTGGTGTAACACTCGATCAAGATCTTACATTTAGTGACCACATTTCTAGCCTAAAGGCCAAGCTTTCTCAGCGTATTGGTTTATTGAAAAAGATAAAGAGATACC